AGGGGAGATATAAACTTTAATAAATCTTTTATAGTAGTAATTCTAGCTTATTAGGAGTAATTAGAGAAGGATAAATTATTTAGTATTATAAAAATATTAAGATGGGAGAAATTATTATCTATTTATTAAAAGCTAAAAAATACTTAAGAAATAGCTAATTATAAAAAGAAAACTATAAATAAGCTTTAACTAAGGAAGTTCTTACTATACTTATTAAACTACTAAGAGCTTATTAAGATTAATTAAAGCTTTTCTAGCTTTATTAGTTTCTTTAATAAGAGCTATACTTAATTATCTTAATCTCTATCTCTACCCTAGGGATTATTACTCTTATTATAAAGCTTTATAGCTACTTTAATCTAATATAAGTAGTTTAGATTATCCTCTTTATTTAAAACTATTATATTAGCCTTAGCCTCTTTAAGTAAAGTGATCTGCTACTTAATACTATCTATAAAATATAGTAGATTATAGTAAGTGACTTAAAGGGAAGGTAGGTATTTAAAGATAGTAATATTAATTAATTAGTATAATATATCTCTATTAAGGGGATTCTATTTAAGTTTCTTTAAAGAAGTTAGTAAGACTTTAGCTAAGCTAGATATAGAAAGAGGTTATTTATCTTTTATAATATTTAAAATTAAGAAAGTAATTAATAGAGTATAAATAATCTTTAGAGTAAGCTTAATAGTAGAGGAACCCTAAGCTACTTTATTATCTAAATTAAAGAAATTATTAGAGAGGGTAGAAAGAGAATAGCATCTTAGTTTAGAGAAAACTAAGTATATCTTCTTTAATTAAGCTTTTTTAATAGCTATCTAATAATAGTAAATACTAAATAAAGGAGTTAAGACTAGCTCTATATTTATTTTATAACTAGACTAAGTTAAATAAGGAGTAGGCTTTTTAATATTAATTATAAGCTTAGAAGAGATCTCTTTACTTAGAGTAGATTTAAGAGGCTAATTCTTAATAATCTTATCTCTATTAAGGGCTAATAGACTACTATACTATAGAATTATACTATTCTAGTTAGCTAAAGCTAGAAATAAATTAAAAGAAAAGAAATTTATATAAATTAAACTTTAGATTCTAGCCTTTATTCTTTCCTAAATAGAATAAACACTAAGAACCTTTACTATACTAAATATAATTTAAATATATATTTATAAATAGTATATAATACTGATTATTAATAATATACTTAGATACTAAAATATATTTATAAAATATATTAGCTCCTTTTATATAGTAATTATATTTCTTATCTCTTTATTAAGAGAAAGAGAACTTTCTTATATATA